AACGCGGTGATGGTGTTCACCGTGTTCGACAAAAACGGTGAATAGTAGGCAGATTTTCCTATAAATAGCACACCACCAGCAGTTGTAAAAACATAACCACTCCCCTTTCTTCAAATTTCAGCAACCAAAATCGAGCATAATACACAGAACAGAAATTTTTCGGTATGTTGTGACTTTTCGTATTATAGTCTAATTATGTTTTTAGTAGTTATAGTATGATTTAATTTTCGTATTATGTTGTTGTTACTTACCGGTATCCATACATGAGTGCTGGCGGGGTCGTGTTCCAAGAAGTTGTCATAAACGATGATGACGCGGTTACGATTATGTTACAGTTCCTAAGCGATAACCAAGTCCGGCTTGCAGAGGTGTATGTTGAGACCGAGGCGGCCGGTGAATCTCATTCTCACCAGTATTCTTATGATGATGGTTTTGCAAGAGGGTACGGATGGGGTGGTAGTTCGAGCAACTACGAAGGCGGTGGTTATACAGGAGGTTACGGGGAGGGTGGTGGTTCAATCAACTACGGTGGAGGTAGTAGTGCAGGATGGGTGCCATCGGAAGAATACTCGCAACCTCCTCAACCAGCCCCGTTTGTTGAGGTTGATGGTGTTCAATGGCCTGCTTGGGGGCCAGAGTGGTCTGAAATCGAGAATACCATTCGATTAGGGTGTACTTCACATGAGCGAGAAGACAATGTTGGTGATCGTGGTCATGTTGATCCTTCTGGACCGAGCTATCCATTCGAGTCGAGCGACGAGGATACTGAGGAAGATTTGAGATCAGTGAGCGAGGAGGAGGAAGATACTGATGATAACGAGGATGAGGCGGCATTTCGTGAGGCACCCACGCCATATTACACACAGGTTCCAACTCAATTTTTACATAGTCAGAATGATCCCCCCAACTTTGTCCCTATGCCAGTGTACAATCCGACGGCCAATTTGGAGGTGGGTATGGCGTTCACATCGAAAGACGCTGTGCAGGATGCTTTTACAGAAGAGGCGTTGAGGCGCAATTTCGAGTGGAAGGTAAAATATTCTGACAGTAAACAACTACATGTCATATGCAAGCATGATGCAGAGGGTTGTACGTGGCAACTGCGGGCTGCAAATATGAAGAGAAAGGGTGCTTGGGTGATTCGCAAAGCTGAGACGATTCACACATGCTCCTCTTCTATACTTTCCCAAGATGACAGGCAATTAAAAGCAAAGAAAGTTGGGAGAACTATTAAGCACCTTATAGAAGCACAACCATATATCAAGGTGAAAGCTATCATGGCAGAGGTGAAGGATCGACATTCTTACACGATAAGGTACAAAAACGCATGGCATGGAAAGCAGAAAGCCATGGCTGAGGTGTATGGTGAATGGGAGGATTCGTATGCTTTACTCCCTAGACTTATGGGAGCAATGGAGGAGTCCAATCCTGGGACTGTTTTCGTCCCAGTATACAACAATGTATACACTGAGGATAAAGTTCGAGTACAGGAGAAGCTGATGTTCCATCGTCTTTTTTGGGCTTTTAAACCATGCATTGACGGTTTTGGGTTCTGCATACCGGTTATTCAGGTATTTTACCAACTGGTTCCGGTTTTAAATGTTGTATTATTTTCTGTTACGTATATTTCATACTAATTTTAGATCCTAAATTTTTATTAAGGTTGACGGAACTTTCCTTACTAGGAAGTACAGAGGATGTCTTCTAATTGCCACTGGCATTGATGGAAACAGGCGGATTTTCCCGCTTGCATTTGCATTAGTGGAAGGGGAGAACAGGTTAAGTTGGGCATGGTTCTTTGACCAACTACACGAACACGTGACACAGCGGGAAGATATTACGATTATATCCGATCGACATGCGGGGATTAGGAATGCTGTTGGTGGTTTTCCCGACGAGTGGGGATGAGATGGTTATGGTGTATTCGACACTGGCTCGCCAATTTCCAGCACAAATTTGGGAAGAAGAAAGACATCAAAAATCAACTTTGGAATGCAGGTACTAATGTTTATCTTATGCGATTTAAGTTTGTGTTTATTAAGCTGATGTTATTCATCATGTATTGACCAGTTTCGATTTTGTTCACCTTTCAGCGGTTGCACATCAACCAAAAAAGTATGAGCAGGAGATGAAAACGATCCGTCAGACCCATCGAGCTGGAGCAGTATGGGCTGAAGGTCAAGAGTTGCCCATGTGGACGTTCCATATGGACAACGGGGCCAGATGGGGCATTGCAACTACCAACCATGGTGAAAGTATAAATAATGTGTACAAGGCTCTTCGAGCGATGCCTATTTCTTTGGAGTGTGTCGGAGGTCGATAGCATGTAGCTCCCTGAAACCTTGAGGTGGGTCTTGTGGAATTGGTTGCTCCATTCGATATTGCCTCAAGAATCGATCGGGTAGGTGCCATTCCACCATGTGCCAGCAGATCAATGGCACCTTGCACAACCACGTCTCGTGATCTATAGGGTGTCTAAGATGATGCAGCTCAAACACTTCACGTGGATATGGATCCCATATAACCTATATTCATTCAAAATTCGGAATTAACGACCATTTACATTGATAAAATTTAACTTGTTCAAATATGGACAAAACATGATTACCTGATTCCACCAAGGTTTATCTAACTCAGAACGATAAAACAGTAACGAATGCTCAGGTTGATGGTCATTCGTATTTGCTCCTATCCACCTTGTAAGTAAAAGTACGGAATCAATTTAATTGAAATATAGCAAAGCAAAGAATAAATTAAATTGGTCTAAGTACGGAATAAATTCAATTTAAATCTAGCTAAGCATGTAATCAAATTTAAATTGGGCTAAGTACGGAATAAATTAAATTTAAATCTAGCTAAGCATGTAATAAAATTTAAATTGGGCTAAGTACGAAATAAACTTACTTGACACCATAGGGGAGATTTTGCAGAAAGTTTAGCTCATCATCGTTTTTCTGGTATGGATGTGGGTCGAGAGGTGCGAACATTGGAAGATGCTCCCATACCCACAGTTGTAGGATGAACATCGCAGCACCAGCTTGCTTTGACCCAACTTTCGAACAAGTACACAGCTCCCGGTATACGCCCGCTAGCACGGCCGATCCCCAACTCTTCTCTCCAATTGCATCCCAGTCACCAGTGAGCAATGGCAATCATATGCCTTAAATCCACCGGTTGGACTTGTCGGGGAACAAAAATCCACCCACCAAACCGATGAGGTAGATGCGGGCGTAGCGCTCGACTTGTTCTTCCGGTGTCTCGTCATTGATTTCCACCTCTTGCTGGATGTGAGATACCAGCCACGGGACCGACACTTGGCCCGCATTCAACGGTGGATGCCCATGTCCTTGAATTGGTGTGGTGGTCGGCATGTCGAAGCCCAAACGATCACGTATGAGCGGCCCCCAACCTCCTTCGGGTTTGGTCGTGGAACCAATGATGGCATCTCCAGAAATAGGAAGCCCGGTGAGGATCGCCACGTCTTTGAGGGTGATCGTCATTTTCCCCTCCGGAAGGTGGAATGTATGGGTTTCGGGACGCCATCGTTCCGCCATTGACGTAAGCAGATCGTTGTCGATTTCGATCCGCAAGAAATGGCGCAACATTCCCAAACCGGTCCTCGCTATATAGGGCTCCAACCTTGGATGCCAAGCGGGCAAGTTATTGGTCCCTTTATGAACCACGGGTACAAGAGATTCCTAAAAAAAATAGGAAAAACATCAATTTATTAGATTAAATAAAGCAAAATAAAACATTAGAAAATAATAAAATAAAGCAAGAATACTTATCAAATTACCGGATTGTTATCCCAAATAGCACGGGAGCGATGAGCTTCTTGATCGGTTAAGAGACTCGCATCCCTTGGGCCATAATGGATATACAATCGAGGATCGTATATCTCGGCACCCATTTATAAAAAAAGTAATGAAATTAGAGATTGTTTTGATAAAAAAAACACAAAATCAAATTGTTTCAATTAAAAAAAAATCATAAACCAAAAACCTACACGAAGAGCCTCTTCGTCCATTTTTTGGCGGAAGCCGGACAGAGGTTCGACGGGTTTAGGTTTGTAAGGGACGGGAACTTAGCGGGACGGGGGCTTTAGGGTCAAACTCTAGTAATTCTTTCTGATGTGGAAGATCGGACTTAGCCGCAACCACAGAGCATACTTAGAACGAGACTAGAGCGGATAAATTGAGAGAGAAAGAAGTGAAATGGTTGTGGTGTGAGTTGAAAGTGAAGGGGGAAGGGTTATTTATAGTTGGGGGAAGGGGCGAAGGGATCTGCCGAGAATTTAATTCTCTCAGTGTTCACCGCCTCTGTCAGAAACGGTGAAGGCACCGCGTTTCTCGAGGACGGTGAAGGTGCGCGGATCGAGCGACGTGGCTCAGCGTGAGGCGTCGGATCTGGAAAGAAAACCACGATCCGCGCCTCACCGCATCCAATGGCCACGGTGAACGCGCCAGCGACGCGGATCGCTGGCGCAAACAAACACGGGGTATTCACCGTGTTTGTTTAACGCGGTGAATACCCCGCGTTGGTCCACGTCAGCGATCCGCGTCTATTCAACATGGATCATTAAAACGGTTTTCTGTTCACCGTTTTTTATCAAAACGGTGATGCATTCACCGTTTCTATTTAAAACGGTGATGTCTTCACCGTTTTAAACTTAGACGGTGAATACGTCACCGTTTTTTTTTTAAACGGTGAAATATTCACCGTCTTTGACAAACGCGGTGATATTATTCACTGTGTTTGCCAAAAACGGTGATGCTCAAACATGTGTACTTTTGGAAATTTTTTTATAACTTATGTATTTTGGGAATTTTTTTTAACAACTAGTGTACTTTGGGATTTTTTCCCACAAACTGGCATAGCCTAATGGGACGGATTTGCGTCATTCTCTCCACCTTATCTACCTTCGGAATCATTGTCAACCAAGTGTGATTAAAGTTTTTCAAAAGAGAACCCGTCTAAAAGAAATGACACATTGGTGCAATCACATCTCCCCCAACGATACCCCAAAACTGACGAAAGAAAGCACTTGTGAATCCATCCGATCTCGAAGGTTGAGTCGCCCCAATTTGGAAGACACTCCGACGGACTTCAGCTGGTAACACCGGAGCTGCCGCTCCCATTTAAAATGGGTTAAAGACATATTTGGTCACTGAGATTACAAAATCGGGACATGTTTAGTCACTAGAAAAAATTAATATCAAATTTGGTCACTACAATTACTAAAACTGGACGCATTTAGTCACTCGCCGTTAGTCTCCGTCCAACTCCGTTAATGAAGTCCGTTAAGTGCTGATGTGGAAACAGAATTGCCTAATCAGCCGAATATAACCCAACAAAAATAAAACCCGACCCGCCACGTCATTATAACCCGCCACCTCATTAAAACCAACTCAATCCATGACCCAACCCTACCCAATCCTTCTTCCTCCTTCCTCCCCAACCCAATTTAGGGTTTTCCCCATCCCATCCAAATTCGTTGAGCGGGGAGAAGATCTCTCCGCTATTACTAACAAGTATTCCAAACAAATACCCACTATACATTTACACCCTTCTCCTTCTTCCCCACCGCCACCACCTCCTAAATCTAACCCATGAAAAACAGGAAGAATCCCTAAACAGTCACAAAGTCTAAGAGATGAACAGTATCCCCAAGTATCCTCCTCCTCCTTCCCCACACTTCCAAAAGACCCCCTAATTTACTAGACTCTAAGCAGATAGACGCTGAGCTCAGGGGCGCCATTGCTGTCGGGATTCATCATGTAGAAAGCCTCGGAATCTCTGGACCCAACAATCCTCTCGAACTTAGCTCTCATGTACATGATCTCCGTCCTCTCACCTTCCCCGTAGCTCGGCATAACCCCGGCCCCCATCGAGACCGGCTCCAGAGCTTTCAGCAGCTTCCACTCTTTCACCCCACAGTACTCTTTCCTCCCTGCACACCCGCATTTCTTCCCGTTGCAGAATCCCCATCCCATAATAATTTGGATGGAATGGGGAAAACCCTAAATCGGGTTGGGGAGGAAGGAGGAAGAAGGGTTGGGTAGGGTTGGGCCATGGGTTGGGTTGGGTTGGTTTTAATGAGGTGGCGGGTCGGGTTTTATTTTTGTTGGGTTATATCCGGCTGATTAGGCAATTCTGTTTGCCACATCAGCACTTAACGGACTTCATTAACGGAGTTGGACGGAGACTAACGGCGAGTGACTAAATGCGTCCAGTTTTAGTAATTGTAGTGACCAAATTTGATATTAATTTTTTCTAGTGACTAAACATGTCCCGATTTTGTAATCTCAGTGACCAAATGTGTCTTTAACCCCATTTAAAATATACCGCATCATACTATTAAATATATATATATACCGCATCATAATAAAAATGTTTGTTTATTGATTTGCAATTGTTGACGGAGATTGAACACTTTTCAGTTTTCACAAACAAAAAGACTCGAGATAATAAGTTCCAAAAGTAGCGTTAATGGCGACTGCTTCTCCTTGCGCTGCGGTGCTTGCTCAGGCCATATGCTCACTTTCCCCAACCTTTCCGCGATGTTCCCCATTTCTATACCCGACTCCAACCACTAACAGCAGCTCCGGTTTTGTTCCCCCGAACTCCGTCACGCTGAGGGCCAAGAAGCAAGGATCCCTACCCCTGAGTTCGCTTTTCCACAACCCTAAGACTCGAAAGTCTCGTTCCGCTCCGACTGTCGTCGCTGCTCAGTCTAATTTCTCGAGAGGTTAGAATTACGATCTTGGCGTCTTGAGAATGTTTGAATTTGGGGGTCAATGGTACTTTCTGGTTAAATCCTGTGCTCTACGGCGGAATTTTGGGTGCACAGAATCGGAAGGCAAATGACAAAGCTACAAACAGCATTGTTAACTTTCTTTGTTTTCCCTTCTCTATGTTTTTCACTTTGTGAACAGTTATCCAAACCGTGTGGAAGGTTGGTAAGGATGGCGTCGATGCAGGAATCGGCCTTGTGCCTGTAAGACTTGCTCTGACCTTCTCCTCTTCAAGTTGGTTTCGCAATTGAATTTCACTCTTTCTAATGGAGCTCAACTTTTCTCACAGGTCTCCATTCCCAGGCCCATTGCCAGAGTTTCCGTGACCGTTGCTTTGCTCACTGTTTCTTTCATTGTGCTCAAGTCATTCTTGTCTACAGCGTTCTTTGCCCTGGTAATATACAATCTAATCCATTTTCGTTCTGCGGACTCTGAATTAACAAATCATGTTTAAAGTACTGAAGCACGGGCGTTCTCGTCTTCTGCTTAGGCTACGATGGGGCTGGTATATTTTCTGTTCATTGCCTTCAACAAAGATGAAGGTCCCAAAGGAGGCACAAATTCAGATGCTTCTACTTTTTCATCAGAGGACGAAGCGTTAGAGGAAGCTAGAAGAATAATGGAGAAGTACAAGAAATAGTGCAGATGCAAGCATAGCAGCAACGAATACATGTTTCTCATTCTCCCGTATGGGTGTCATTGAAGGAGAAGCTGAACTGTCTGTTAGAAGGCAAAGTATATGCTGAAAATTCTGGCCTCGTGTTCAACACGAGTTTCATAATCAGCCGAGAAGCTCAAAAACCTGAAAGGCTCCTTCTTGGTATCAGATCAGGTGTAATTATAGATTTGGTGCTCGTTAAATAGGTTTTTGTCACCTGTTCCACTCCAAATGCTTGGCATTTGGTATTCCTGACATCTTGAAATTAGTAATGCAAGTGCTTCTGCAGATTTGGGTCAATGCCTGACCTTAAAATACATTACCTATTACTTCTAAATTGAAGCAGTTCGGATACATGGTAAAAGAGATCTGTTCTACAAAAGGAAATGGATTATATTTATTTCCTTGTATTTGTTTACTCAACTTCATTGTCAGCAGTATCGACGACGTACAAAACGGAAATATTGCACTATGCTGATCACTTAACTGCTAGAATGTTCTTTCCATGACTTTTCTTAGATTTTACTGCTCCGTGTCAATAACATAGCAGGCCCTCCCCCTTTAAGCATCGAGACAAAGGCCTTGTTGATTTCTGGGGAATGCACCTGATGAGTTATGAACTTGTCGACATCCAGCTGCTGCAGAGCGAAGGCTATCCATTTCAGTAAAGTGCAGCGGAAAAGATCATGTGGTTGGAAGAAAGTGAAGAACAGTCTTACCTTGTTCATATACATTTCAATGACAGAGGGAAGGTCAGTTCTTGGTTTATAGTTTCCAAAGAGAGAGCCTTCCAATGTTCTCTCATTAAGCAAGTTGATGGGTATAACAACTGCCTCCTTGTTAGGCACTTCTACAAAGACTGCCACTCCCCATCCCTACATCCATAGCAATTCATTTAACGGTATGAAATTCAGTAAACAGAGGCCTTTGTACTCGTCTTAAATTTAACTTACATCATGAACACAATGAAATGCTGAAATCACTGCATTGATGTTGATGGTGCATTATACGCTCCTGTCAACTCCACCTTCGGTCACCTCTGCAGCCACCTGGGTTTGATTGGTAATCTTTCGTAAAGAGGTTCAAGCTGGCAGAGAAAGGCGATGAAGCAAACAGAGAGGAAATGCCCACCTCTTGAATTGGACTGTCCTGGTTTTTCGGGTTCACCAACTCTTTAACTCCAAACTATTTCGCTGAAAAGTCCCAGTGGCAGTAGGCGGGCTAGTCAGAGTGCTCTTACATAAGGTGTGATTCTATGATGATACACAGACACATAACTCCAAGGTTGTCAACCCGCGGGTTGACCCACGGGTCGACTCAATTTGACCCTGACCCGGTGAGAAAAACGGGCCGCACGCACCCGCCGGGCCGACCGCTATAAGGTACCGGGTTGGAGGTCAAATTGTGTTATTTTTTCTTTAATTTGCGAAATGCGCCTATTTTCCAATTTTTCTTTTCGCCTAACTCAATCTTTGGAATACTAAGTTGAACATTTGAATAGTTATGTTATATACGTGTTTGTGAATTTTCACTATATGTTAGATCTAAGTACGATATGTTATTTTGGTGTAATATTATATGTTATCACTCATATGTTAGATAAGATTTGATATAATTTATGAGGATATGTACAATATAATGACTCTTTCTATATTTCCGGGCCAAACCGGGCTAAAACGGTTGACCCATTAACCCATGACCCACTAGCTCGACCGGGTCCGGGTCAACCCGCGGGTTGACAACCTTGCATAACTCTTACCTTCCTTGAATCTCTTTGGATTCAAATTTATGCCAATGACCCTGGATGCACCCTCAGCAGCCTGAGGCCAAGGTAACATTCATCTTCGGTATCTTTCTTCTATGCAACTCAGTAGAAAACAATTACTGATTTTTAAAATTTACTAGGTCCATAGCTCACAGACTGAAGATGGCGACTGTGGAACCCTGTTTTGGTTTCCTCACATTCAATGTGGATCCGTGTCCTGAACAATAGGTCTTTTGTGGATTTTTCCAGTTTTGGTGACTGAGGTTATGTGGAAAGCTTCATTGAGAGGAAGAGTTATCTTTTGAGATCCGCAACTGAGAACACGCACATTGTCCCAAATGTGTCAATGGATTGATCTTTGCCAGATTACCAAAATCCTGATGCAACCTGATGAATCGTAACCCACGATTCAAGGGTTGTGCTTGTAACTCACAAGTGAGAGAAAGACATTGGTGTCTATAAACCTTCGATTTATTTTATTGATACGGAACCAATGTCCAATGTACATATTTATAGGCTTAGTAAAGCCTAATACGTAACCTAATCCTACTCGAATACCCTCTACCACTCGGCTACCCCTAACCCAAACATACAAGGAAAACTGAAACTAAAAGGAAAGACACCCCTAGCCCAAATCCAAAAATACCCAAAGCCCATACAGAAAATCTACTCATCAATCCTCCCTCCTTGAAATCAACTTTGTCCTCAAGATTGACACTCGCCTTCTTCTTCCTCGAACAAGCACATCACCTTAGCATTACTGCACTTGTTCCCAATAGTAAAGTGCCCATCGCAATTGCTGCTCCTCCCATCTCAATCTCTTCCCTCCTGGCGTCCCGCGTGGAGGTCCTCCTCCTCCTTGAAATCCCTAGCTTGCAGTTCTCGGCGCATATCCTCCTACTCCTGCACCCGTTGTCCCACCTCCTGCCGGTGGCGCAGACAGACCAGCCTATTTATGGCGCTGGATTTGGTCGTTCTTCATTCTGGCCAAGCTAATGGCGTCGCGCAAGGACTGGGGACGAAACATTCAGATCTCATCAGCGATCTCTGACTTCAAACCTCCGAAATAAGTGCCCACTAGTGCATGTTGCGTCCAGCCGACACATCGATTAGCCAACCTCTCGAACTCCTTCTGGTAATCACGTAGAGTCCCAGTCTGACGAATCCGTGATAGGGCTTCATCGCAACTCTCTCCTTTAGTCGAACCGAACCTCGCCTACAGCTCATTCGAGAACAGCCCCCCATGAAATCGGCTCTCCGGCGTCTTTATAGGTCCGCTTCAGTCACTGCCACCACTGGTTCGCCTCTCCCTCCAGGTGAAACGCAACTAATGGCACCTTTTGATCCTCCGGAACTCCTGGTACACGAAGAATTGCTCGACGCAAGGAAACCACGATACAGGATCATCCCCCGCTAACTTCGTGATCTCGAGCCTCGCGAGCTTTGCTAGGAAACCTCCCCCACCGATGCTGCGTCCACTTCTATCACCGGCCGGCTTGTCACTGAAACTTCTCCGCACCGCCAATTCCATGCAATGGGCGCCCTTGCCGACGTTGTTCCGTGGTCGAGTCGAGCTTCTCTTTTCGGTCTTTATTCCCGTCGTGCTTTTTTCCCCATACTTTTCCTCCGTACCGCTTTTCTCCCCATCCTTCGAACTCTCCTCTCCGGACGACGAGACCGTCACTGGTCCCTTTCCCTCTCATTGCGGCGTTAATGCCTCAACCCTAGCCACCAAAAGGAAAGACACCCCTAGCCCAAATCCGAAAATATCCAAAGCCCATACCGAAAATCTACTCATCACAACCATGTATTCACTGAAAGTAGAGGTGCCGAGGAAGTCACATATTATCTTTCCATCGATGGAAAACTGGGATTTTCCTTCTCTAAGCATGAATCTTCTGTCAGAGTTTATTATCAGCAGGTCTCGCATGTTGCTTACCTCGGACTTGCAGTGTCTGCACTCTCAAATCAATGCTAGCGGAATAGCACGGTCTCCTGCCTGGAAAGCAGACCCAGAAGTGTAAAATCGAAAACCAAGGTTAAATTGAAATCATAGATTAAAATCATAAAATCGTAAGACTTTAAGGTACATATAAAAAGAAACACTTAAAACACAAGATACTAATACAAATGAATATCCTAAATAACATTCAACCACATATAACTTAATTACTTCCAAAGATAAGTTGGTTTGTTAAATAAATACAATTAATAGAATAGATTTATTCTTGCATCTTTAAGTGGTGGCTCTTCTTAAACTTAAACTTAGTTAGGGGAGTTGTAACGATTCATCCCCCTAACATCTTTAAACTTATCGTGGTGGCTCTTCACCACGATTCTCAAGAGCATAACTGTTGCCCATCTTAAAAGTCTCAAGAGCATAACTGCTGCTTTATCTCAAAATGTCTCAAAAGGCAACGGACTGGTGCTAGTGACTAAAAACACTTAAAACGACTTCACCTTCTTGAAGGTGAGTTACTTCTTTAAAAATGAACTTGTTTTTTAACAATAACTTATAAACGGAAAGCTTTAAATTAACTAAGAACTCATGCACATTCACATCAAGCATAGCTCAAACAAAATCACATATCATCAACCATAAGCACAATCAAACAACGACAATCATCTCATCAACATACGTAAGGCTTGTAATTCTTGAAAGAACATGTAAAGCGTAGAATTTATCCCCTTTACACTCACCTTGTAAAGACGACTCCTCGATTCCTTACTCGAAGAAATCCCTCCTAGCCGAAATATCTCGGTGAACCTATTAATAAGAATGTCATCTCCTTAGTCGACCTTTTTCGATTTAGAATTCCCTTTTGGGTCACTAGAACATCCTCTCCTCAAAATCCAGCCCTCGAGACTCACTCCCAAAGTCCCTTAACCCCCTTTAAAAATTTTCTAGAAACAATCCCTTCAAAACATACCACTTTTCCTAATTATTTCAGTCTTGGACGAATTTTCCACCTAACTTGAGCCTTCTTAAAAATTCGGATAATAATTTTCCTATATCAATCATGAGTACTTTTACCCTGGAAAGTTATCAAACCCTTATAAACTCCTCGGAAATATTTTTATTTAATTAAAACGAATGTTCAAACAATTTCTAAAATTAAAAATACATCTTCGAAAATCCCCAAATTAAATTACACCCATCTCCTAGACCTCCCACAATTTATAAAAATTTTAAACTCAAGAACAAACCCCCACAAAGACTCGAAACAATTTAAAACATCTAAAACAAGTTTCTGAAAATTCCAGCAGCTATAGTGACCACCCAAATTCTGTCACTAAAAGCCTGAACGTCTGTTGCTAAAAACTCAGGATTGCACCCTCACGAATAATCCCCAAATTAATCGACCTAAAAGGGAAATCTCGATTTCTTGTTGTTACACTTGGGTTCACGATTGACGGGTTCCGACTAGTCTGAATGATCAACAAATATGGAAACGACTTGGGGTATATCGTCCTTACCTTTTGGACGATTGGGGATCCAACTGGCTCGGGCGTGAGACTTGAGAGGGAAAGGGCGGTCGCTGCGCTGCTTGGGGTTTCTTCGTGGGTCTCTCCGCAGCGGAAGAACTCGTCGTCGTCGCTTCACTACTAGGGCACGAGAGGGGAGGCGAGATGGGTTGGAAATATATCTCCTGCTGCTCGTTGATTTTTTTTTAAGAGTAGTGGTCGGAGAGGGCTTTCTAGGGGGAGTGGGGATTTGGGAATTTAGGGCAGGGGTTTGGGAAAATTTTGGGAGGCCGAGGGTTTGGGAAATAGATGGAGAGGCCGTTCGGCCCCAGGTCTGCTATATTATTATTATTTTAAATTAATAATAGTTATTATTATTACTACTAATATTATTATTACTAATCCGCGATTGCAACATTTAGTACGCAACTGTCAACCCAACCGATCACGTATTAAGGTCGAACCTAAACCTAAAAGTCGGAGTGTTACATAAAATCCTTTTCTATTCTAGGTTCTGTTGCTTCATCCGTAGAAGTGCTTAAAATTAGCTAGCTTTAGACTCATGTATTTTATAATGAATCTTAGGTCTGAGTTTGAGGACATCAGGGTTTCGTTACTTCATTGGAATGTTTCTACTATGAAAGAGGTCTTGGGAAAGCTGATTCACGAGGAGACGGGGTTGCTTCAGTCAAGCCAATTTTGACATTCATTCCACGGATTTCGCAGCTACTTCCATGATTGCCATGGCTTCTTTTGGCCCCAGTGCCTCGTCGTCTCTCGATACTACCGAGTCATCTTCACAGTTTGTTGTTACAATAAGCCCCATTTTCATCATACTCCATCCATGGAAATCATCTATCACTTATGGCGTGAACCTGGTCATCCTTTTCATTGTTGTCGAATGCATAACGTTTGTAATTATTGTAAAAATGAGAGTCATGTGAATGGTTATTGCGCGATTGTAGCTCGAAGGGATCTTTCTAGGCCACCTGGGTCTGCTGGCTCCTTTCCGGGCTTTGCTCGATCGGCGGCTACAGCATACGCCAAGTCTGTTGCTACTCCTTCTCTCACGGCCAAATCTGCGGTGTCTCGTTAATGACTTTATCAGTTGATGCATGAGGTTCTCAAGGAGACAATTCCTTCTGTTCTAGGTTCTGTCTTCACTACGGGTATGCATCTACCTTCCTCTTCGTATTGGCATCTTGATTCAGCAGTGTTTAACTAGATGACTATTTGTTGTTCCTCCTTTATTGCCCTTAAACACACATTGGATGCTTTGTTACAAGTGGCTAATGGAAATTGTCTTCCTGCTTAAGGCATTAGTGATATCGTGTAGCACGGGGTTAAGCTTCCCATTGCTTTATACATTCATAATCTTGTTCCTAGTCTCGTCTGCTTTGGTTAATTAGCCGAAAATGGTTGTTGTGTTACCTTTAATTCACGTGGTTGTATTATATAGGCCATGACCAAGGGAACAGTGATAGGACGCAAGACTAAGCAAGGGTGTGTTTACACCTTGGACAACTACTCACGTGTTAGTCAATGGGATGCTTGATGGGTCTTCCAAGCTGGTGGACGTGTGCATGGTGCTCATGGTTGGAAGGAGGCTGCTACATGAGTAGCTACTTCGTAAGCTGATTGTTTTTTTGTTAAACTTTCTATTTGGACTTGGGATCTTTTCCATCATCGTTTGGTTCATCCCCAATCGACACGATTGTTGGATATATTTAAGACTAATTTGTTATTTGATACAATTTCTTATGTTAATTATTGTGATTGTATTCATTGTGTTGAAGCTAAATTTTCAAACATTCGTTTGGTTTG